ATCTCTGGATGGTGATTGAACACCCTCAATACAACTTTGTATATATGTCAAACCAGTCGATTTCCCTATCTTAGTTTTGTGAGCAATGATAAACTTCAGGAAAGGAAACATGGACTTTATAAATTTATTATAAGTAAGAACTCGTTACCAGGCATCGAGTGTAAAGAGTATTTCTTAAGATAAAATGCTGTAGTGCAGGCTACGCATGCATATACAATGTAAGTACCAGCCAGCTCCAAATACGAGTTGCAGTCAGGTGAAACGGATCGTCTACGGCTGCGCCTGCGTATCGACAATGCTGTTGACAAATGGATGTGCATAACGACAATGCTATCTACAGGATCGGCGTATATCGACAACTGTGATGACTGTCATACGATAAACCACATCAGGGAAGCACAGATTCGCAACAGACTCATTCGTCATTTCCTCCAGAACTACTACATGAAATCGATTATTACCGTTCACGGAAAAAGGGCCCCAAATGGTTATGGACTATGGATGGAGCGGCCAAAATCTCGGATCCATCTGCTCTGAACCTGTAGTTCATAACGGAGGAATCTCATCATCCTTGATGTCAACTACAGTACACCAGAAAATATAATGGAGATACATCAGAGACCAACACTTCGAGATGCAATGTATAATTAATAGTAAGGTATTTGAATACAATACATGTATCACTGTTGTAAATACAGACGAGAAACTAAATGCAACATTGATGAATTTATTTTGCAAACCTACTCGTAACACTTGTATTTGTATTGGCTGCTTTGGCCATCATCCATTATTCCAGGTTCCATACCTAATAAAAATCATGACCGTCCTTATCGAACCCCTTGCATGGAATGACTCAATAGTAGTTTTAACTGAGCACATTTCAATCTACTTAGTATTACTATTATTACGAAGTAGTACTGTTGTTGAGCACAAAACCATCGCTAATTGCTTTTGTCTGTGACTTCCGAGCCTTCTTTCGGTTGTACTTCATCAACACTCGCATCATCGCACACAGGTTAGACGTCCACTACTGAAGCCTGCTGACTACAAAGTTGCCAGTTGACGAAATCTTTTGTGCAGCTATTTGCACAAATAAGTCTTAAGACACAATTATTTATGTCTATAAGACGTACAACGACGTATCTTGGCGCTACTACAACTATAATAGTATTAGAAATAATTTATCAGATATATTACACATCAAAGTTTCTATCAAGGCATACGTAGGATTGAAAAGTGCCCACCTAGGTCGTCAACGGATTCCTTTAAAATGGAACCGCATATAAAATGTTACATTTGAACCTAAGCATGTAGCGCGATTTAAACTCCCCATTGCAAAGTCAAGCAGCTTTTGCATATTTTGATGCCGTGTTTGTTTCAAGATGTTTCTTCTTCGAAAGTTATGAGCACCCAAATTAAGATCACCCTTTTGGGGCCCTCAAAGTCGGAGGGCATACTGTAGAAATATCAGTCATTTGTGCGACTGGGCTTGCTACTCTATTTTGATTAATTAATATTGGTGCTGATCAAGCAGGCAATGTTGAAGTGCACCAAGCAATAACTACAGGCTAGGATAACCACCGTTCTCACGATCCGTACGGAGAGCCACTAAGATACTTGACTCTGAGATTTACATACCATAGACTTAGTATACCTTATCTATCGCTACGTCGCTGAAAAAAACACGAGCGCACTAAGCTAGCGACTACATCCACAAAAAAAAATCGCTTTGACTAGAGAAGGCAAATTGTTCGCGTCACGCTCGACCAGGCCCCGGAAAAAAATAATTGAAAACCAATTATTATGGTATTCGGGGGTAACAATTATTTATTATTGAGAATTGCCAAAAGCTGGTATTACTCGGCGGTTCGGCTCATTATTGAATTTTCGTTTTATGTACTAACTTTACTGTTTTTGTCAACAGATAATGCATCAGGAGAGACTGTCTCGACTAGAGACCGCTGCAATTGCGTCATTCCAAGTTGGTGAAAGTTCTGCTTCTGAGCCCGAGGAAGCCAACGCTTCCAGTTTTGCGGCGACGCTGCTGATGTGATTGGGTCACACGCAATTTGCTACACTATATCTGGACTAAATTGAGAATTTCCCACCGCGAAGTTCTACGTACTCATCAGTCAGGACTTAGTGGCTCTGGCTTCTGGGGTAATCTCTGGAATGGTATTAAGAAGGGTGCTAGTGCTGCATGGACTTTCCTCAAGTCAAATTGGAAGCCAATCACTTCCGGACTTCTGGACGGAATTGCTACCGCGGCTGGACCTGAAGCTTCTCCATTGCGTGGTTTGGTGAGGGATGTGAGCGGAGTAGGAATGGCTCCTCCCATGACTCGTCGTCGCATTAAAAGCGGGAGCTTTCGATTGGGATAACTTTAGTTATGTTTGATCTTGATGTATAGATGCTATAAGTATAACAATAGTCATGATCGGTTCAGTTTATAAAATCATTTGTAGCCAAAGCGACATTTGTTACGTTGGTAGTACATTTAATCAACTCAAGCATCGTATGATCGGACATCGGTCTCAGTTCAAGCGTTGGGATGAAGGCAAAACAGCATGCGAAATCGCAATTTATCCATACTTCCGAAAGTATGGTCCATACGAATTTAAGATTATGTTGATCAAGCAGTGTGAAGTTGCCGATAGGCATCAGCTGCACGCTTATGAAACTTTATGGATCAATAAATTCAATAAAACTTGCGTGAATAAGGTTCCTTCGTTTGGACTGTTGAAAAGACAAAAGCAAAAAATGAATACAAAGAAATACTGGGAAGCCAATAAAGAGGTGCTCACCGAGAAATGCAAGCAATACAATGAGCTCAGAAGGTTATCTGTGAATGCGGCGGTCGGTATCAATATAGAGGTAGAACATATCACTTCAAATCTCAAAAGCATGTCAGATGGATGGAAACTCAACATGAGGGTTGAGTTCCAAGATTTTTTTTTTTTCATACATCGCATCTTTAAAAAAATAGTGATCCTAACTTTCGATTGATTACTGTTTATCATCGAACAAGTCAGTTCGTCGAGTGTGTTTGATAATCATTTCTCTGAGAGAATCAACGGATAGGTCGTATCCTCTTCGACGCACTCGATCGACTTGCTTTTTATAGTTAGATCCAAGAATCTTAGTCAGAGTCTTCGAGAAACGATCTCGTGTATATGATGATGTGTCTCTTGATTCCACGATCATCCACTGGGTAAATTTTGTGAGCATATCATCAATGGATACGAACTCTAAAGTACTTGGTGTTTGATTTAACTGAGCGGTGCTGAAAATACTGCTACTGGTTCCATTCGCTACACATTCAATAAGCCATTAAATCGGTTTTTTAATAGCTGACTGTTGCATGTCAGACTTCTCTTTAGTCAATGGTGCATTATTCTGTGGGTGATATCCTTCCAGGTCAATGCTCATGAGATAATGATAAAGATGAATACCGCCGTCGGCTTTGTTAAACTGTTTGCGGATCTGATCGAAGTAGGCTGTTTCCCCGATACGATCACTTTTGCAAAGTAAAATACACGAATCGACGCATATGGTTCTCTCACGCTGTATGAGTTATTAGACGCAATAACAATATTGTTGCAGTCTGTGATTCGATATGGGTCGATACCTTTCCTCTCAATCATACAAGTTGGCTCAGTAATGCAATCCTTGAGCTCATCTTGGTCTTCATGCGAAGATTGCTTAACATTAGCTGCTTCGTTAAGGACAGTAATAATCTTATGCTCGCGCGACGCATTGAATCGACCAGTCAAGATTTTATTTTTGGGTGTTTCCAAGCAATACTTCTTTCCAATTACACGATTGAGAGAATCTCGTAAATCGTGTTTTTCCCGCACCCCTCTTCTCCCTCAAGCACAACACATGACCCTGACTTTTCGTATGGTCTTTGAACATACCATGCAAACAACTTCATATTGTAGCTCAGAATATCTTCCCGACCACCACCCCAAATGTGTTTGATATGCTCTGTAAAGCAGTTGAACTTCGTTTCATCGACAACAAAGTTAGGATCGTAGGTATGAACGAATCCATTGAATTTGTTAAAGACTTCGTTCGAGTTCCAATCGAATTTGTACAATTGACTGTCGCAAGCTCCTGTCTTGGCATTGTATGGCATAAAATCAACCTTACCGTATGTGATATCGTCACGATAGTGGTAGATTGCATCGCGTAATGGCAAACGCATAATGCTATCTGCATCAAATTCTGTGTTATCAGTCATAATTTGTCCATCATCGTCAAGTTCAATCGCATTGTTGATGTCAAACATCATATCAAACTGTTTGATATCTTTGATGACCACGTAATCAATTTCTCCGAATGCATCCCGATTTTTAGTCAAGTAATATCCGTTTCCACCTTGCAAGATGTAAGCAATGTTGTTCTTGATAAACTTGTAGAGTCTCTCCATTGCAACAGCTCCTTTCTTTAGATTGATAACATCAAGATACGTTTCTGTGTTCTTACAATCGAAGATTGGCGGCAATTCTCCCTTTTCGTAGTAGATATGAAACTTCGGAATATGAGGAACAGTAAGGTCATCACCTTTCTTATCTTTCTTTTCCTTGATCTCCTTTGGTTCATATTCTGCTTTCCACGTGTTGTATATAATTGGATTAGTTCCACCAGCAATAGATTTGATATGAGACTCTGTTAATTTAGGATGATACTTACACGTTTCCCAATCGTTAAACACTCTCAATGCCGCAGCTTGATCAAACCGATCTGTCATTGTTTGTAGAATACACAAATAAGTTTTACGCATCAGACCAAGATCGACGTGTTGTTTCTTATATAGCATACCCGCCAAGTTCCAAGTATTATTGTTGTCATTGAACCATGACCACTTCATCAAACAACACAGGTCGTATAGACGATGATAGTAGATCTTCTTTGAAACGCAGTATTGAGCAACATTCAGCTCGTCAATCATGATTGGTATGTTGATCATCATCTGTTCGCTCTTACAATAGGCATGTCTTAGCGTTTTGTTGCCTTTTTGAATGTAAAAGCAATAGCGATATCCACCAAAGTACGCATTGCTGTCAATCATTTCCGATACTTTAATATCCAAGTTCTTGCTGGCAATGTATTCGTTAAACGCTCCAATAACATCCATGGGGTCTAAGGAATTTTCTTTTACGTCGAACTGCTTTACTTTGCCCCGTTTCGATGTACTGCTCGAAGAAGAACTCATTTTCCGCTTCTGCAATATCTTCTGTGTAATCATTTGAATTATTTAATTCTGATTCCGAACTTTGATCCTCTTTATATACCACGCTATCCGCGATCACCGGTGCGAGAATCGACTCATCGAATTCTGGAACTTTGCTTACATCGATATTCGAGACCTCGACGGGCTTGATCACCGATGGGGTTGGTGTATGAACAACCTCAGCAATAGCTGGGGTATTCGGTTGAGGCGACATTTCTTCTATTATATTAGTCTCTACGACAATAATTTCCTCTCGATCAATAATAATCGGTTGTTTTCCGCATCGTTCTTTGTTGCGAGCAAGCTTACACTGCTCCCCATTGCTTTTAATGAAGTTGCACATTTTTCGTATCTATATGACTATGGTTATGTTTTGTATATTCTATATATTCTTCGCTTACGATGGACTCATCCTTTTTTTATATCTGAGTACTGCAATCCTGTAGTATTTACACATTAGCGGACTCATCAGTTTATAGTGTCATCTCTAAATATTGTATGAGTACGACACGTTAGCGGAATCGACATTATCGAAGTGTCCATGTGAGATTATTTTGTATCCTTTATCGAAACAGGGGGTGTTGCTATGTTTCGACACACTTAGATGCCGAGCTCATTGTTGTGGTCGGCGTTGTGTCCGGCTTGCGTCCAACTATTATGTCCATCTTTCTTTTCATTAGAAGCAGCGATAGCAACTCTCGATCAAGCTATATATCTCAGTGTCCAGGTGTCTATCTTTTTTTCAGTTTTATAAAGAATATTATAATAAGTAAAAGGGGGTATAGGGGGTAAATAGAAAAAGCATATAGTTTTAAAATAGATTTTTTCCCCACGCTGGACTGGTCCGCATTTATCTGAATTCATAACATTAGAAGTGTTTCATAACTGATATCGTTGCTCCTGATAACTAGAATAAAGGTGGTCGCCATTTTTTGTCGGTACAATACTGGTTTTACGCGGTAACTAGTTCATGATTGTTTTTGTCCAATCCGATCATGAATTCATGGTGGTTTCACACAGCGTGCATAAATTCATTATTTTTGTCCAATCAAATCATGAATTCATGGTTTCACATAAGTTTCATGAATTTATGATTTTTGTCCAATCCAATCATGAATTCATGGCATTGCCGAACTTTCCCTAGTGCAAAGAGAAGATGGCCATGAAGAAAGACCAGCAGAAGCGTCTCGCGCAGCTTGTGCGTGACTTGGAAACGAAGAAGAGTTTGTGCTGCGTTCGAGACTACCCAGGGATCACTCTTGACGAACTCAATCAGTACGTGGCGAAGCACGGTCCGCTTATCAACCCTGTTTTCGGTGAGCAACCTGCTTTCTTCATCGACGAAGGCCACTTCACGCCATATCGAATGGTTGTGTATGGCAATCAGAAAGTTGCAGCCAAGATCGCGCAGCGTCTGGGTAACTGGGCTGAGACGTCGAGTGAAGGAGGAAGAGTGACAACTTCACAAGGAGCTTTCATTCTCGAACAGAGTACTGGCAAACCAACAGTCCGAATGCCCGATGTTGCTTACACACCGCGAGATGTTGACAGAAATTTGGCTCTTGATCAAGTTTGGACATATCGTGGCGATCCATTCGTTCCCACATTCGTTGTAGAGATTGACAAGCTTGCTGATAGAAATTCACAACGCAAGGTACTCGATCGCAAGATGCGAGATGAGTATTTTCCACATGGCGTTCAGTTGGGATGGCTCATCGACCCTCGACCTCAACATCGCATCATTTACGAGTACAAGCTTGACACCAATGGACAGGTATATCGCGCGCACAATCGCAAATGGCGAGATCTCGATGGCGGTGATGTGCTTCCAGGTTTCAAGCTGCGTGCGGCTGCGTTGGAGATGGTTCTGAATCAAGATTCTGGATCGTCGTCGGAAGAAGAGATTGATTTTATGTGTCCAGAGCGAGGATGCAGAAAGAGATTTAGATCACGTGGTGCATGGGTTGCCCATGCTGAATGGCACCGTGAGAAGCGAGCTATAGCAAAATATTTAGCAAATCAGTCGTAGTCGAGATTAATACTTCGAAGTATTCTCATCATTTTTAACATCAACAATGCCACTTCCGTCCGCTCATCGTCCGCTCCTCCTTTGCATAAAAAAGCATCTAGAGTACCCCTGGACACCCTCAGAGAGAGCGATGATGTACTATATAGTTCTAGTGGGCGACTTCCTTCAGCTTCCACCTATTGGAGCAGAGCCATTCTACAGAGATCCAATTTCCAGTCGTCATCCCAAGGCTAATGATTTTGCTGGATATGAATTGTGTTTTAGGTTTCACGATGTCATTATGCTGGAAGAATCGGTCCGCTTTCGGGTCGATACAGAATGGGGTAGGGGCTGTCAATTCGCTCGGTGAGGCACGTGGCTACCCGAATTTGTTGAGCTGGTTAACTCACATCTCACTACTAAGTCGAACACACTGGAAGAGTGGGGTGAACGCAAGAGTGTGACATCGTTCATTACGCCAGACAATACTACTCGGCTATCAATTAATAACTTGTTTTTATCGAGCTACCATTTATTGGTAGAGGAAGAATTTCCAGTTCATGTCGTTGCTGGTTTGAAAGGTAAATTGAGAAAGCTCGGCATTTCTGAAGTGAAAGCAATTATGATGCTTCCGGACACGAAGTTCGGTAGAATGGCTCTCTACTTAGAGCTCGTTGCGGGCATGCCGATACAGGTCACTCATCCCATCCAAGCAGAAAAAATGGTAGCGAACGGAACGATGGGTACTTTGGAAACCATTATCTACCATCCTGCTACTACATTTTGCGTGGTCCACGACAACGTCGCTGACGTGACAGTGCGAATTCCTGGTCGAACCCCACCTGGCATTATTGTGAGAATTCGTAGAGGGCCATCCGCAACGCCGATGGAAGGGTGCATGGACACTGACCTATTTCCACTTTTTTCGGATGCTCGTGCCTACAACCAAAGTGAAATCAAGTTAGCGCCGAGCAGGACAGGCATGTCTAGGACACTTTCCGTCAAAGTGGAGCAGTTTTCTATCGTTTGTATGGTCTCCTCCACGATGTACAAGGGGCAGGGAGATACACTCGATCGGAGAGTCGAGTTGCAAATAAGATAGAGCAACCCTACCTACTGGAATTGAGGGTGACGTCTAGACACGCTTTGAAAACTCTGTGCCCACTTACAGAAGAAATCAATTGGTGGGCTAGACCGTCACAAGCTCCACTCAATGAAGAAGCGCGATGTCATCGACTGAGCGAGAAAACGCTGACCAAATTATTATAGAAAGAAATGAACACATTTTTTAATGAGCTGGTGCAGTGGTGCTGACCACGGTGGTTTCTCGTAGTGTTGAGTAGCAATTATCCTTCTCGCTGCTCCAACCACGATGAAAAACCGTGGTGATGGGTTAGGGAAAGCCGGTACTAGTTCAGCAGCATCGTGAAATGGGGAATTGTGCGCGAGATCCACTACATTTTAGATCATTAGGACGCATGAGTTTCACGAATACTCACCAGCAAAGACATTGGCATACCATTTTATAGGGATTTGCTTAAACGTCACTAGAAAGCATGAATTGTAAGTGAAAAAAAAATTTCTGCAGTTCATCATACCGTGGTCGCGCACGAATCGTCGCACTCTTTAAAGCGTTGGCCTAGTGAAGAAGAAGGCGTGAAAGCGGTTGAGATGCTTGCGGAGAGAGTTCGTCCCCGAAGCCACGAAATGGCAGTTGAGGACATAGCAGAACAAATCGTCGACCACGGACATGACGTCAATTACTGGTACAGGCTTACGGTCACTTCCTTCCAGGTCTCTTTGATAAAAGGGCGTGTCCAGGTAGCAGTGGACGAAGATGTTATTGGTGTCCTAAACCGCCATAGAGCGCACCAAATTTCCACGGAACAAATGACGCCTCCTCTATCCAAGCGAATGGGATCCGAGTTGGATCGTATCCGAACCCGTAGATGGCAGTGTCATCCTGGGTCGCCAGCAGCAGCTCAGCAGGAAGAGCAGCCAAATCAACAGCGCCAACACCTGCCAGTGGTGGAGGGAAATCGTGGCGGACAGGCTGGTATGAATCTCCAGCAATTGTCTTCACGACACGCCACTCGTTTGCAGTCGTCTGTGGAAAGATCGTCAGGTAGTGGCGCCGAAATAAGGTCGACAAAGACCGACTCAGCTCATCTGGCAGCACGACGCGTGTACTTTGCTTGTCAATGGCCTTGCCATCCCAAATGCCGTTGCATCAGGATAGCTGCACGTAGCGAGCGATCAACCCTAGGTTGATAGAGGATTTTCAGGTACAGCCTCGTACAGGACCACGTATCCACTCTCCATCAGCTGTTGGCGGACTTTCATTGCATTCATGATATGCAGTGACAGCAAATTTAAAAATGAGCGCATATCCGCCATGAGAGCCAACTTCCTCCAATCTAATACAGCTTCAAGTAGTCTAATCTAAACATCTTTGAATAGGAACGCCGTAAATGATCATAGAATTTGTCGAATGCGGAATGGGGTTGGGGCCAAGTAGTGCTGAGCAATTCACGGGTGTTATATGGCCGCTATCCTGGGAATGAGACGATAGCGGTCACCTTTTAGTCCAGGACGTTGAGTACCAGGTGATTCAGGCTTGAACCGTTTCGCTTCGAAGCATCCAAATGGACACGTATAGATATGCCACGTTCGTTAGAATAGCTGGAGGACCCCCAACGGCACACCGCAAAGCGTGGAGGCCTACCAGGTGGTCCAGTCCTCGTAAGTCGAGGACATTTTGAATCGCACGCCACAGCGGCATCATAACGCTGACAACAATAGGCAATGACTCACGGGAACACGTTGTGGGCTGGACAACTCAGACCCGATGGGCTAGCCCTCATGTTTCGAGGTCAATTTGCCTCACAGATCGCCGACGTGGCAAGATCTTCCACAATCCCAGGGTTAGTGCACGAGCATACATATTGGACGATTCCTCGGAGGTCAAAGTCACTTTGACCCGTAGAAGATGAGATAGAAGCTGGGGTCTGGCTACTACCTGATGTGATCTATTAAGCTAAAACTTGTAGATCGAGGACAACTCGAGTAACGCGCCCCATCGCCAGCGTGAAGGTGCATCTGGATGGCTAAGCTTCTGTCATTCAGCCCGACAATGCTGGGCAAGAAGCCACCTGATGACACGCTCATTGACGCACATCAACCTGAATTAGTTGCCATATTGCCGGCGTAGAATAACATATATGACTTGGCATCATAACTACTTTTTCTAATCGAAGACAAAGGGGCTTGGGGGAGGGGGTGCCAAAAGAAAAGTGCCGCCCCCGCAGTTCAGACGGATGGAAGCTTCTAGAAACTTTCACAGCCACCCTACATCTGTTTGTGTTCTTTGGATATTTATATCCAGAGTTTTAGGAGCGATCGGAAAGCGTCGACGATCCTGTCAAATAACATTTTTACAGATATATCTGTAATTATTTAAAATCTAATAGTGAATATTTATATGCTAATATGACTCAGAAACTAATAAACTGTTTTCTTGTGTGCCCAAAAGGTGTGAATGTTGACCCAGTCGGCCTAGAACAACATTCAAGCAACCTTTTACGAATGTGATCCAGTCATATTAAAGCTACCTTATGGCTTCAACATAGGGATTGAAGCCACTAGAATGACGGAGCAGTTAGTAAATAAACCACACAAATGCGATGCGTCCAGCTTCAGATATACATGCATCTCGATGCAGCACATGTACTCAATACGAAGTTAACACTGGGACACGTTTGAAATTGATTTAGAGACGGCAAACACCAAATTCTCAACTAAGAAAAGTAAAAAGTCCCAGTGTCGCTGGCGAAGTGGGGCCCATCCTTATTCGCGCTTCAGTTACTACGAAGTCTTATTCTTGCTTTTCGGTATTGGTGGCATGCCCCCCCCCCAGCGCATTCGTTATGAGCGCTGACGATGGTCGGTTGCCAAGCACTCCTGCTTTGATCCAGGTTGCGCACCTACGCTGTCGGCTCCTGAGATTTTGGTTTGGGCCTCACCTTTTGGCAGCATGCTCTCAGCACTTCTATGGGGAGTGTTGATGATAGGCGGTGACATGACCTCCTCTTTCAGACCGGGCAGCGCGCCATCTCTGTCGGTCCCTTCAGATACCTGGCTGTAGCATTTCAAAATTTTAAAGAAACAATTTTTTAATGTGTATTAACCGTTTCGCGATAAAAAGAATCAGAATGCCCCCTTTTCCTGGTTTTCAACTAAGTAAGACGATGTATCCATGTTAAAGGAGGCAAAATGCCTCCTTTTATAATTAAGTACGTTTACAACAGGTTGTTATGGGCATAAAAACCCAAGCAAATCACTCTTGGAAGATTTGAAGGTGGTCCATCACTCGCCTTAAAGGAGGCAAAATGCCTCCTTTTGATACCGACTATCCTAGATTGGTATACTATAGTTTACTAAAGTGGCTCGCGAAAGGGTTAAGTATCCAAATATCTAGAGCTTGCATGGCGCTGCACGGCATTAGTATTAATTACCATACTATATTTTTTCAAAGTACTACGAACCGCCCATTTCAATATGTCAATAATATAAGCCAATCAGATACAAATTTTGCACAATGGTGGGCAAGGAGGGTCTAAGAGCTAAAAAGCAGGTTGAAGTGCTCCATGACGACTCGCAAAGCACGTCCACCTCTACCGATCAATTTATCAGAAGAAGATACAAAGAATCTGATTGGCCAGAATAAAATGGCGGGGTCTCTCTATATTTGCAAAATTAATCCTGTTTTGGTAGGTATTTCCTGTACAAACCTTTTGTTAGTACGAAAGTTGCTAGAAGGCTTCTATCACAAGCCAGCGACTGCAGACATAAGTTTCGGCGGTTAGGATGAGATCCTCAGAGGGTAAGGCGCACAAGTTTGATCTGAAATCTCACTTTGGATATGCAGAACCTGAGCAGCGCATACACTTTGTCAGTTTGGAGACGGCAGGTTCTTTTATCAAACACTACGTCTTGAACATGAACAAAAGTGTCGAGAGGAAAAAAGAAGGTGGCGGAACCCACGTAAAATGGCTGTGTTCTGAGCACAAAAGAGATTGTAACTGGTTCATAGCTTTGTCACGCAAACGTCAATCGAAAATTACTGAAGAAGCGACCATACAGCGGCGAAAAAAGCCTACAACTAAACTCTCACATATTCCAAGTGGATCATGGTATATCTCTAAAATGGAGCTAAACCACGCACAACGTTGCCCTGGGATTGCTGCAATGACTACTGAGTGTCTGTTGGAGCATCCTGGTTTTCGTGGAGCTATTCTTCCTGGTCATAGCACTTCCCTAGCGCACGTACCGCGTAATTCCTGTAAGAAGAGCGCCATCTCCAGCTCCCACTATCAAGACTTTCTCCCTCGTCTTCGCAGCACCGGGCTTTATTACCACACCCCACACTGTTACTAGCTCAGTAGAAGAGAAAGTTTGCGAGTCTGTGTCGGGCGTACGAACGTACAGATGCGACCAAGTGCATCAAGCTGGACCGGTCAGCTCACGCAGCTAAATCTCGTGTCGATAGCCGCATTTTCCGCAGCCAGTACCCATATGAACCAAGCGAGTAGGAACTTTGTAATCATCTACGACACGATGTGAACCGTGATCCGCGCAATACAGCCGTATCCCAGCCGCCTTTATCTACTCTACCCAACAGCAGAGGGTTTTGCGGCAGTCCATCCGGTACACCAGAAAGCTCGGTGGAAAATGCTTCTCCATTGGCCAGAAGTGGTTCGGACTATGCTTTATGTGAGGAAGACAACGGTACTCAACGTTGCTGCAATTGCGCCGTTCAGCATGGCATTGTTCAAGAATTGCTGGACACGTTGCATAGTAAGCTGATATCTGAGCTGAAAGCCACGTAAAAATGGAGCAACGAGAGCGTCACAGAATGCTAATGGTCCTTTAACGAAGACCTGGGCTCAAGTAATAGCAGCAGCTGTCGAGCCGTTTCTACAATGTTCGATTACGCACAGGAGAAGTACTCATGGCAATGTTTAAGACTCAAAGTCGAGACCTCACAGAATAATCCACTAGATAGAAACGAATGCGTGTAGCCAGATCTAAAGGCTAAGACCTCTCAGATCGGACCAGTAGGTAGCGAGACCACCCCAGTTGGGTAGCTCGGTAGATCATGTGCTTGAACCAATCAAGGCATGGGCTAGGTACAGCTAGGCATCATTTGTTGATTTTGAACGGGAGGGGGGGGGGGGGGGGTCTTCTGGTTTAATTCTGCTGACCTTCGAGGTGGGTAAGTGTATGGCATATTATTGAGATCACGCTGGAGCTATGTGCAGGATAGGTGCCTAATGCTAAAATGTGTTGATGCTTTGGTAGGGAATACGACCGGACGTGGCAAAGGGCTCGGTAAGGGCAGCTCTAAGCGTCATCGACGCGTCCTCAGAGAAACGATACAGGGTATCTCAAAGCGATCCATTCGTCGACTTGCGCGATGTGCTGGGGTGATCCGGATATCTGGTCTTGTCTATGAGAAGATCAGGGCTGTGCTCAAAGTATTTGTCGGTAGCCTTGTACTGGACGCTTACATGTATACTCAGCTCGCCCATCGAAAGGCGATCACGACCAGAGACGTTATTCACGCACTGAAAAGGCAAGGTGGTATCCTCTACGGCTTCGAGTAAGCTCCACTTCCAATCACAATACAGAAAACTTCTGGTATGGTCTCGTATTTCTTATCTTCAACGCGCAGGAGAAGCGGGGTGATGTACACCACAATATCGGCAGCTTGAAGAGAAACCTTTGAGATTGCATTAACTACTCACCCTTCTAGGCTACGTGTGCTGAAGCGTGATGTGGAGGTTCATACTTCATTTACGGTACACATGCAATTGAATTCAATTAAAAGCAGAAGAACTACGTTTTCAATGCAAAAAGCGAACGGGTCAAGCTATGAATCTTTTCCAAAGTTATCCTTAGCAATATTACTCGTCAGCTTCAGATTGATCGCTATCGGCTAGGTTCATCACCTCGACGCCCATATTGTCGGATTGCTGCATAGTTGTACCAGCATAATGGCGAGATGCTATCGATTGATAATGAGATGCTTGCTGACGTACTGCTTCATGTCGGAACACGATCATACGGTCGTCTTGTGTTTGCTGGCGATGACTGCATTCGTCAGAGAGGGCTCTGATAAAAAAACATCCTCGCAAATGGTCTCGGCTTGGTCTGTTAGTTCACGAGCCTGGTTGAGTGGACGGGGTTGTTGCTCCAAGTGCGACACAGATCCTTGGATCACAGAACTACCTGCTCCGTAGGCTTGCCGCATCCGGTGAAGATGCTCGAATGTTGGCATAACTTCTTCAATGCGTTGTTCTCAGCCTCATCGAGGCGTTGTAGACGCTTTAACTCCGGTAAATTCTGCATTGTTTGGAGTCAATTGGATTGTGAACACTAGTCGTTGATTGTCCGGCGGTGTCGGGAAATTCCTTAGATACACTAGTGATTGACGTAACCAAGCTAGGTCAAAATTCTTCACTTGAAGCTCGTTGCTATGGCATATTTCAGTACGAGGTTTGAACTGCGATTTCCCCCGGGACGGAAGCCCGTGTGGACAGTATAGTTATACGCAGGAGGCTATGATCCCGCCGAAGCGAAACGGAGGCGGGAAAGACCATAGCTATTTGGCCTGCACTTTGTGTAAAATCTGGCACTGGTCACTGATGTGTCTGGCCAGAAGCTCCATGACTCGATGATCCAATCACCGCAACCTTAAGCCATGGGAAGGGTTGAATCCTAAAATCCTGGTAATGCCGAAGCTATGCCTGCCGTTTTAAGCTGTAAATTCGGAGCACCCAGTTTAACCAAGCATGGTCGCATTCAGACCCTTTTAGGGCTCTGCCACCGTTCTCTGTGTTTTTAGCAGTGAGGCTTTGGCGATAGATGTCCTACGAGTAACTCCATTTATGAACATTTAAAAAAGTTATGACATCCGTCCTCGATGAAGGTTAGGTATTTCGGTTCAGGTGTTTTGGGTTGCGTTAATTTGGCTAAGGCTGCTTTTGGGGTCGCCTTTACCCCTCCCCCCACTCCACCCCTTGGTGTGGAAGGCTCTGGTATCGTGTTCCGATCAGCTTCTCATGTCCCGTGTCCTGGCATTCAGACACATTACGCGCTGTTACCATATCTAGCTCGGCTTGAGAAATGCGAGTAGAAATAGAGACTAGGCACCGCCGCGAAAGAGACATTGATATTTTTGTCGATATTTAGAACTCCAAATCAGCACTCAATGCATTTATTCAAACCAAGTCAAAATTGGGGCACTTCCAGTAATCAATGATGGCGTGGACAGTTTCACGCAAGCAATTATTGATTGCTGGTGCTTGTATCCACTCGACGGCGCTGTGGCGTTCCCTTGTTGTCCGCCACTTCGTCATCCTCCGTCGCGCGCACGCGCAATTTGCGCTTCCCTCGGGTTGGTCGCAGAGTGCCTTTTTTCCAGTAGTATGCCAGATTTCAATCCATGTACGCGCTTGCCCGTTGACGGAGTGCTTGACCTTGTTGCACAGGTACACAGGAGTATTGTGGCCACACTGGTCGTCTTATTAGTCTTGTTGAACACCCAAGTGCTTCATTGGAAGGAGGTGACGCCGACAGTGATTTTATCCTTCAGCAGCTGTCGTACACCTTCTCCTGACGGGGTCGGGCAGGCAACGGATTGAAATTAGAAGGACTCGTGTAAGTAGGCACAGTGCGGTAGTAACGCTAAGAACCAAAGAAACAGAGTCTAAACACAACTAAGTTCTTGTTCTTCTTCTTCCTTCGTCGTCTCGCAAAAGGCAGGGAAATTGTACGAGTGAGGGGAGCACGCCACCGCGCGTTCCCTCCTGTTAGATCTGCATGTTGTTGGACGCTACATAACTACTAAATATACTCCGTTCTTCATCTTGATGACACCTCTCCGCCTCGTCATAGCGTACCGGTGTCGGGCAGCTCCGTGGCTTCCGTCCCGACGACTCCAATTCGAACGAGCCCACCTCTTCAGCGGAACCTTGCGTTCCTCGAGTCGTCGTAGACAGAATCGACAGTAGGACCAGGCCGTCCTAGGCACGGTAGGCACGAGTGGGTGCAGGGGAGGCGCTGACTTCTGCGGGGCCAGGAACCGATCCCAGCGGGCGGCCGTCTGGAACACCACTCGTATTCCCGGGTACGGGACACAGCGAACAGACTTTGCAGGCTCTTTGTCTGCGCTTGCTGCTCCCCTCCGTATTCCCCTTGCGTTTGTCCTCAGTTGGGATAGGCATGTGGGCCGCAGCAGCTCGCTTCCTAGTTGGCAAGAATACCTGGCCATACGTGTCTAGCAACTCCTTTCAGACTTGAGGACTGATCTGGCAAAGCTCGAGGTGCAGCACGCAAAGTGGGAGATCTTGGGCATGTCGTCAGCATTGCGTGCGTGGTTGTACACGATGTAGGCGTTGACGAGAGCGAGATCAACAAAGCCTAAGAGGAGACTTTTGTAGTAGTTTTTGAAGCGAACGGCCAGCTGGAGCGAATATCTGGAACCAAATTGTACGATACATGATTAGTATTTAGTGCAATCGATATAATACACGATATCATACTTAGCCAACTCACTTTTGAAGGCGCAACCGGTCGTGTACGTTGACTCTTCCAATGAAGGTCTGGTACTTCTTGACAAGCCTCGGGCATGCCACTTCATCCTGTAGGCAACTCTTGGCACGGCGCACGATCCGATCGAGCACAGTAGTTCCACCAGAAAACAACAGATAAACTGGACGATTATCCCACCACTACGTAGTAATCATGCCCGGCACCAGAGTAGTAGACCCAGCGAACGTGAACGTGCCCCTATCTCTCCCCTTTGGTCTCGACGGCTCCTTCTTTTACTTTTTCTTGTCTGGGACGACTTGCGCAGCCAGCCCTTTGCGTCCTGTCATGACAGTTCCAACGCTGCAGTATCCCATCGTAAGCAGTTCCATGGAAAGAGGGATCGACGTATAGAATCTGTCCGTGACGATGAGTCGCATTTGTTGTGAAGGTTGATTGCCAAACGCAGCACGCAGATTGCGCACTTCTACCACCGGTCCAGTCCTTTCATCTCGAAGTGTGACACCATTCACTGTGGAAGCCTTACCCAGGCAACCCTCAAACCTGTATCATACAAGATACCACAAAGCACCAATCGGTATTAGACACGATTACAGACTTAGAGTTTAAAAAAAATTTGAGCGTGCCAGCAAACAGGCTCACGTACTTAACAAACCAGTATGCCGTGAAGGAACAGCACAACATGAACTGTTTTGTGCCGTACTTATGCGGCTTATCATTAATGTACAATCTCATCCTGTTGAACGAGGACCTGGACGGCAGCATGGCCTCGTCGAAGGCCATGACGGGAGGTGGTCTGTAGCCTGCCAAAAAGGTTCGTTGGAGAGCTTCAATAACCGGTCGTAGCTTCCATGCCCGATCCACAGCAGCTCGAGGGTCATAGTTGCTATTGAAATTGAGGTTTCGAGCCACGTGTGCAAACCGGTCCCGCGTCATAAAGCGACCAAAGCATCCAGGAAGAGTAGCCCCTTCGTCCGTCTTCTTCCAGTGATGCTGTAACTTATCCTTATTGGGTGAAATTATCCGAGTGACTAGCAAACCGATGCACACACACATATCTCGTCCCGTGATCGGTGGTGTCTGCTGTAACTTGGAACGAATCTGCTCGGGTGTCTGACAACGATAGCCAGGTTTCTTTTGTTCACGTTGAACTTACTTGCTGTACTGGTCCTCCACTCGCTCGTCAAGCTTCTCAATGAAATACTCTCCACTGGCCACCGCAATGTCTTCCCACAAGCGCGGGATCATAAAAAAAAACAATACTGCATTTGCCGGGCTAGTGGCAGCTCGCACAGCTTCCTCGGTTGGGCCGTGCCATCCATCAAAAAGTCTTGGATAATCATCATTCATTGCATTTGGTGGGCGATTTCCGCACGGGCCGTCCATATACGGGTAAGGTAGCTGCGTTCTCGCACCGAGTCAACCAGGCTTGGCAATCTCGTCGAGGATAGCCGCGTTCCGCTTCTTGCTCAGGTTTTCCACCATTGAGCCGGCAGTCTACTAAAAGCTGTCAGACTTATCAACGTTGGTATCTGTAGATCCCATACAGGTTAGTTTTTTTATCGTGTATGCTAAACGTGTAGTAGACAAGATATCTAACCTGTTGTCGTGTCCGATACTTGGGACTTGAGTTCCTCGGCAGATTCATCTACACTTGTATACGCAGAGTCGCTAGTGCTGGTACTATCGGGGATATGGGGCGATGCAGGGCACAGTCGGGTCGCCGTCTCGATATGGGGAGATGTGGGTCTCAGAGGTACAGTCTCGCCTTCGAAAGGTACCTCAGCAAACTCTGTGTCCAAGCTGCGTTACTCACGACCTTCAACGCCTGCTACAGGTACACCAAGTAAGTAGCATACTTATTTTATCACTCCGCTTGATGCAACGGGTACCATTGTCAGATGGAGGCTCCTCGATGCAGTAGATGGCGCAACAGCGTCACTATTGTTGATCAACGGTAAACTTGTCCCGCACACGATACAAGAAGGATGCTAGCTTGTATAGTACATGACAGTTAGTATGGGATCTCTAACATTGGTCAGCAGAACTTGCCGTGATTTCCACATTCTCTTCTTTATCGGTGGCCTTGTCGACCGTCTCTGCACACCCTCGGTCTGGTGTACCATCTTTCATAGCAACACGTTAGCATTTTAGTTGGATTGAGAAAAATGTTTTATGCAGTACCGTTATGTTCATCACCAGGCTGCTCCAATCCGTCACCGGCGCTGTTCTCCACCTCCTGACACGCCAAATCCGCTAGCAGACAGACAAAGCAGTCAGTACGACGCAAAATCACCTACAGCAACCGGTCATACCTCTGTCGAGCGCGTCCAAGTACTCCATCAGCTCCTCCGAGCCGACGAAGTAGTCCACGTGGCGCACAGCTTTCCTGGACTTCTCTGGGCAGCAGTAAGTGTGCTCGGTCTCGAGCCCCCTCGGCCGCTTGGACGTCCATCCTTGCTTGAGCAGCTCCGACCAGCGGTGGCGAAACGCAGAGATCTCTCCCCGACCGCGCAAAAGCTCGAATGATCCAGCGGCTGGCTAGTGTGCGTGCCAAAACCTTTTTGTTCTAATCGCAGTACCTTGGCGCGCTCCGTTACCTCGCTCAGCTAATATTTTGAAATGCATCCCATGCACACTGATCCAGCTTTTCTGCACGTTTTCCCCTGTCTGCGCACTCAAACTTTCCCCTAGTTGACTAAAAATTTGTAAACCGCCATACAAAAAACAAGTCAAATTTCCTTATCGTGTCTAATACAGGATAAACACTTTTTCTTATCGTGACTAATACAAGGCTTCGGGTTGGAGGGGGGGGGGGGGGTTACGGTGTAAGGTTGCTGTATTTCGTGTTGCAGTGTAGTATTTAAGGTTGCTGTAACACTATTCTACTCCAATAGCAAAGGTTCTAAATAGACGATACATAAGACCCAACATGAGTCTGTAAAAATCATAAGCCATCATTATTATTGATTGTGATGAATTCCGATTGACGGAGAAGATCCTATCTCGAGAAAGTTATTCAAGAAAGTTACTGCGAAAATCCTTAAGGTCTTGCTCTTCCCGCTTTCCTTTAAGCTAGCTTATTGTCTGATTGACTGCCGAAGGGCAAATTGAGCGGGGACTTTTGTCCTAAGAGGGTTGTCGCAGCATGCCGTTAATTCCCCGTCAGACAATTGAAGGTAATCTACGCACTTTGAACCTATGCTTATGGAGACGTGTATACTAACTGGAAATTATTATGTTTATGTCTTTAGCGCACCATAGCACCGTAGCTTAATGGAAAATCTCCCGAAAGGAAAGAAGGGGGTTAGATTCCTCCCGGTGGTATTATTATTATATGTATTTATATTATTTTTTCCAGGTCTACTACATTACTGAAATGAATTAAAGCCTGCGTAACCCCATGATCGCGGCGGTAGATGAGCTGTACTGTTGGTATTATCTTCCTCAAGAAGCGCTTGAAAAGAAAAAAGTGGGTGGATCTTCGTTGCTTGCTCGGTTGTCTCTCTCGAAGCACGACGGCTCTCAACGAGTGCTACTTGATCCATATCCAGCAATATGAGGTCTTTGATAGTTGGCCGATCCGCGCTTGTTTTTCAAGGTGACCGGTTCTAGAACCCGAAACTGTAAGCGTGTATCATTTGAAAGCACCCACCAATGTCTATCGAAGTGCTCAGGTAAGATCTTCAGCTGATCATTTGACTTGTAAATATCCACTAATTCGTGAATGCATGGCCTGCCATGCGTCCGACGAAATACACCTGAACATTGGGTTTGTTCGCCTCCACTAGTAACAAGATTGCGAGCTGCTTTCTAGAGTTTGTCCGTCTCGGTAAGAGCATACGTTGAGATCAACCGGACCACTGCTGATTACTGATCATAACGCAGTCTGTTTGGTGGTATTGTATCATCTTTTGTAGACTGGTAGCTGATCGCCTTGGCCGCAGCGCTCCACCAGGATAAACGTTTCACAATCACGGTTAGCATATCACCTTTTGACGTTTCGAGCCATCGTTTTATCTTAGCGTGGGTTCCTTCTACCGTCGACGTGTCGTGACATCCAAAGTGCGCGTATCGGTCCGTCCAGCATTTGACCGGGTTTTGTATTTCCACCAGGTACGCTCTAGGTAATCTGCGGTAACACTGCTTAGATTGCGAAGAGCAGTACAATGTTGTTCAAACTCTGTTGTGGTTTCCGAAGCGATCGTCTCATAATACTTCGCCATGAAGACGTCGGTCTCTACTGAGTTTTGTTTCATCTCTCCATTTGGACCAGGATGAGAGAGTTGTAAGATCGTCTTGAACACGTGCAAGAACGTTGCGGTTGACATGCCAGCGGCGCAATATCTTCGGTACACCAGGAAATACGGTATCACTTCCATTCATACACGCCAGGTCTCGATCTGTTGCAAAAAGCGGGGTAACGGGATAGAATTGTCTCTGAGTAGTGACTTAAGTTGAGTGAACGCCCATGTGTAATTAAGCTCAGCTTCTCCGGGTAACCAGCACTGAGCGAGCGGGAGTACGTTGTTGAGCCCGGTGAGGACGATGATGTTGCATAAAGGCCAATTGTGCTTGTTCGTTTTGTACGTACAGTCAACAACTTCTACACCCATGTAGTGTTGGGCAAGTTTCAAGGTTTCTGGGTGCGCCCACAACAGGTACTTAAGGCGTCGCGAATCCTCATTGACCTCATTCTTGAAGTGGAAGCCATGTTCAGTCAGCTTGCGAAAAAGAGCTTCAATTACTGTGTCAGTTGCTAGTAGGTTTCTTCGCTTAGCGTCCTTTACGTTGGCAATGTCCTTGGGAATGAAGAGCGAGCTAGTGTCCGTCAGTAAGAGAGTTGTGTAAACCTTCGAAACGGAAACACCTGCTGCCATTTGGTAAAAAAAAAAATGAAATCGTTCACCGTCGACACTTCAGGCGCTGTGCTTTGCTGCGAGCTGCGTTGTCTGTGACCAACGTGTACTCGAACGTCTAAAGACGTTGGATGATTGTGCTTAGTGCTTTCATCGCGGGTGTGTGCAATTTTCCATGGGCCTTCAGTATTGTTTTCATCGACTGCTACAATCTTGATACGCATGGGACATCCCATTCGTTTCGACCCACGCATCGTTCTAACACGATCCTCTTCGCGAAGGTGACGAGTATTCTTTGGTTTTCCACTTCTATCACAAGCGAATAGTCTTGTTCGGATGTCGCCATTCTTGTTCCTTTCCACTTTTTGTCTAGACACATTACACATTAAAGTGCCTTGACAACGTCCACTTGAGGATTACGTCCTCCGCTGCAGCTTCAGAAGGGTGTATACCTTCAGGGGGAGGGTCGATCTTATACACTTGTCCAATTTGTGGCTGCATAGAGCTGCTAGTGTTGTTGTGTTCGATGAAATCTGTGCCTGCTATCTGCAGGTTTGTTGAGATGTTTGTAGATGGACTTGATTGTAGTTATGGTAGTACTAGCGGAACTTTCGTCGAGGAATAGATTTCGTTAATAAGACCGCAAAGATCTTCTCACACATCTTGATAAGAAGATCTTATCTGTGCGCATGTGTTTGCTCTATTTATGTTAGGTAGCTCCCAACTTGGGCGATCCTTAGTTACTCCCATCTGGGAGTAGTTAATCCGCCCAAATGGACCGGATATTTCGTAGATCTGCTAGTCAAAGTAGTATACATAAACGGTTGCCTACCGTTACGGTAGGTACATTTCCACAATGATGATCGAGCTACGAGAGGTTGTAAGAGGAGGATAGAGAAGGGTTGTGGCGAACCGCACTCTACGTGAGCTTTATATATTAACAACATTGTTTTAGTATTTTGTTTTGCTTACAGCATATCAGACAAATCACACTCTGTAGGATGCCCTGTCGGTTGATAACTTGCACTTCGACTGTTGCCGAAACTCGATGCTTTGAGGCATGCGTTGCCTCAAAGCCTTAGCTGCAACAATACGGACTTTGCCCTTACGCTTATACTTCTTTGTTTACCGGTCTACGAGATATCCCGCCCAGGTGGATGGACTACATGTATCTACTCTCGTGGTATCGTTGACAACGACAT